TTTTAATTATTGATAATATACATACGAACACAATTAATCAAATCTAATTTTTTTAAATACTATTTTTTATATTATTGATATAAAATTTAATTACATACTGTCATACACTGTAATGTCAAAAAAACGCGCCCAATTAAAAGAGTTTTCTTAAAAGCGCATCTTCTCAAATTAGCAGTTACATTAAACAACAGAAATTTGACTTCAACTTTGATTTGCCATCATCCAAGAAAATGTTGGCGACTTTCAGACATTCAGTATGTTTTCCTCTCGCAAGATGTGCCTTTTCTTTTCCTATTTATCAATGAAGAATTTTACGATATTCATCCAACGTAGATGAGTACGATTAACGATGAGTATCATTAAATTAATTTATGAAACATTAAATTATAAAATAGTAAACGAGCATAGTTAAAGATAAATATTATTAAATTAATTTATAAAACGTTAAATTATAAAGTACTAAACGTATAATTATAAATTAGTTAAAAATCTTAATGTGGTTTAATTAAAATACCATATTTATTAAGCATTAGTTTTTATAATCTTATTTTAATTATAATTAGATCAAATATTAATTTAAACTTTTTATAAACCCTAATTTATTTTTATAACTTTGAAGCCATCGTCTCCGTCGTTGTCGCCATCGTTTCCGCCGTCAAACTAAAACTATTGTTTAAACATCAACATCATTCACATTTAATTTGATTTACCTCTATTAATAAAAAATTTCGTATGGAATTCACATAGTTCTCAGTGTTATTGTAATGGAAATAAAATATTAAAATTATATTTCTTTTTATTTCATATTAATTCTATTTTATATTAAATAAACATCGACTGGTACAAATTATTTCACTTTAATGAAAGTCTTAGATATGAAATTTTAAAAACATATTAACGTTCAATTTTTTATGAAAGTTTTATTATTTTTATAATTCTATTCGACTCAACGAGATAAATCTTTATATATATATATATAATTGAAAAGTTGGTACGTTGTTACTACACACGTAAACTTAAATAGTTGGCTTTTTTTACAATTTTTTAATATAAATTGTTGAATTATTTCTTGTTGTGAATCTCTTCCATATATACGATTGAAATGCTAATTTTTAAATTAGTGATTTAAATATAAATTCAAACCATGGTATCCAATTAGATTTTTTTTTAAATACAATGACAAAACTCTGTCAAATTATAAGTAAATAACTTAATTTTTCATTTTTTATAAAATAAGAAATAAAATTCAAATTCAAACCATTAACATTATACAAATATCTCGTGCATGGGAAGAAACTATGTCTCTCATTACGGCAATGTCAATGCACGCGAATTCCTTGGCACAGTTTGGAAAAAAACTGTCAATGCATGCTTCGTCCCGGGGCGGCCATTGCCCCTTTTTTCTATGGTTAAAAAATATTTTGATAAATCTTAAATTAGAGATTCTAATTTTAATTTAGTCTACTTTGTTTAAACATTTTAATTGTAGACTTTTAACTTTTTCACTTTTGATAATGTTTTTTATATACAGTTTGAGCTGAATGTTAACGTTCAACTTAAATATGTATATGTGTTTATATGTTATATGTATACATATATTATACATAATATATAATATATGTACACATAAAGCGCCTTTTTAAGAACGTGTTTGTTGAATTGAATGTCACATGTACAAAGCGCGTTCCATAGGATACGCATTATTACCACATAATATAAAAGGGTGACATTTTAATAAATATTGATGAAAGAGTGATAAATAATAATTTTTAAGATAATTTTTGATAAAATTGCCTTAAAAAATTAGAGTGAAGATTGAAATGAAAGAACTGCATATGATTCTTTAGTCAAATTAGTAAATGACTCTTTCCAACCGGTAAACAGTCAACATATTGAAACGTGGGAGAGTGATGCTACATGGGGCCAGGCCAACGACAGATCAAGCCACGGCTGCACCAGGTCGCCTGTCATACGAGACCCAATCTGTGAATTTCGTTGACTTGGTTTGAGATCAAATGACTTCTTTGTGCAATTAATGCAATCGAGTTTTGTATCAAAGCTTCGAATTTGGTTGGTTTGAATAGGTAATCTCAAAAGTGGGATTAAAATTTGAATTGTAACAAATATTTATAAAATCGAATTAACTTTTAATAAGTTTTATTTAATAAAATAATCCTAAATTAATAACTTAACTTAAAAATAAACTTAAATTTTAAAAACAAATTTTATTTAATTCAAATAAAATTATAAATATCATATCTCAAGTAGAATTAAAGGGTTTGGTAATTTGGTTTACATCATAAATAACATATTATTAGAATAGATGACTGAGATTGACTCATTATTTATATATATATAATTAGATTTTGTACCATTCTATTAACTAGGATTATTGGTGGAATAGTGTAGAGTTTATATATAAATCTTAGGCACAATGTTAAAATTAGCCCTCGATATTTCATTTTAGATTAAAAAAGGCTCTTATTTTGGAGTATTAATTATGTCTTAACTAATAGTTTTCATCTATAGAGGGAGTTTTTTACCCCAAAGCGAAACGATGGGAACCAAAGTGCTCCTAAGGGCCAAAATGATCATTTTGGTAAACGTTGGGGGCTAAAATGCTCCCCAAAAAAATAAGAGCCAAAATGATAATATTAGTAAATGATGGGGGCTATTTTTGACATGATGCCTAAATATTTTAAGGTTAATGTAGATATTGTAATTGACTTTGACATGCAATTTGGCTCATTGGTATAGTACAATTTGGCCACTTAATTTGACTTTGATTTGCAAATTGATCTATAGTTATTTTTTTGTACAAATTTAAAACAATGATAAAATATTTATTTAAAAATAAAAAAGAACCAAAGTGTTAATTTTCATATTTTAAAATTTAATTAAATACAAATTCAAATATTTACTTAGGGATTGGTTAAAAGGATGATTGTTATTCTTATAGGTCTCGGATTTGAGCACTAGAGACTGCAAGAGTCTTTGAGCTTTCGTAGTCAAATGATTAAAAATCTTTATAATAAATATTATTTTGTAATCACCCTATATTAATAATAAAAAAAATTAAGGATCAAATTACAAATTAAAACCGAAATTAGAGGGAAATTTGCATATCAAAATCAAAGTAAGAGACCAAATTGTACCAACAAAATCAAGGGTCAATTTGCATATTAAAAACAAAATCATCAGTCAAACTGCACAAAAGAAATTCAGAATTCAAATTGCATATAAAATCAAGGGGGGAAATATAGATTAACTCTAAATCTTAATAAACACGACTCCAATCTTTGAAAGTTTAACTTTTAGTTGTTTATTTAAAGAATATAAAAGAATAATTGATAAAAACATCATTGTGATAATATTAATTATAATTTAAAATAAAATAAAATAATAATAATAATTTTTACTTGAGTTGATATATAATTATTTTTTATTCTAAACTTAATCTGAATTTTAATTATTAGTATATTATTTATTTTTCATTTTAAAAGATAAATAAAATAATCAATTATAAATAATATATTTAAATATTTAATTAAAACGAATCATTATAATACACAATCGAACTATATATACTTTTGTAATAATTAAAGAGAATATAAAATTCAATCATTAAAAAGTATTAATACCACATTTTTTTCTTTTTATCTTTTCTACATAATAGTTTAAGCCAGGGTGTTCCCGTAACATATTTAAGATCTAATTAGGGATGAACATAGGTTGCTTCGGGTCAGATTTTCAGTCAATCCGATCAGATCCGAAAATTATACCTCCTCCACCTGGATCTGATCCAACCCAAAACAATATGTTTATTAAAAAATATTATTTTTATTCAATAAAAATATAGATTTAATTAAAATAATAATATATATAGAGGGACATTATCGTAGTTATGACTAAATATAAAGATAAAATTATATGTTTTTCTCTGGTCAGGTCGGATCAGGTATTTTTCACTATATACCCGAAATCGAATCCGATTTTTTTTTAAAAAAAATCTGACCCGATCAGGTCGGGTCGGAACTCGACGAATTTGGGTCTCATGCTCATCTCTAAACCTAATTAGAATTTATATACAAATTTACAGATTACCCACAAAATTCGAACTTAACCTTACAAACTTAAATGTAAGAAGTCAATTTTTGGACAAGTTCAACCTAAGTGAGAGTATCATTGGTTGAAATTTGGAACAAGCTTAGCTCGATTACAGCTCCTCCCATTTCCGCCGCATAACATTTGCTTGTAATTTTAATCACGTGGAACGCGCCGCACCCTTCGGGAGGGGGGTTTCTAGCCTTTCCTTTTTTTCTTTTTTCTAGTCCAAACCCTTTCTTGACGCAATCTATTGTTTATTCTAAGCTTCCAATAACTCCATATTTTAGGCCCTAACGTCTCAACCGTCTCTCTATTCCCTCTTCTACAAAATTCAATTAATTACTAATAAATATAAGTTAGTTCAATTGCTCATCTATTTATTAATATTTTAGTGGCCACTGTAATTTAATTAATGTTTAATTTTATTTTTCAGTTTTCAGAAGAAATAATGTTATGTCCAAAAATTTTATTCATTGGATCTACGTGTTCATTGTTTCTAGAATTGTCAGTATGTGGTTTATTGGCCAAAACAAATGGTAAGGTTAATGACTTAATGGGCAAAAGAAGAGTGGTGTATACCATTTTTTTTCAGTCATTTTACTCGTTGTCTTGTCCATTCTATATTAAGTTTCTCAATTGGTCAATTTGCCAGGTGGCAATCTGACGCACCGTCTGTCGTAACAATTATAGGGGGGGGGGAAATCAAATTCTGAAAAATCCAAAAATTGTGATACGCTGTGGCTAGATCTGGTCTACGTTCCAAACGCTTTTTATTAGCGATCCCATTGCACCGGTAAAAAGACTATCACAATACATTTGAAACGCCTTCCCATATCTCACGTCTCTCTTTCCCTTCCCCTATCCCTTTCAACCCGTCTTTATTTTCTTTTTCTTCTTCGTCTTTTTCCGATCGAAAACTTTGGTCTTCTTACACTTGTAAATTTATTTATGGACAAAGGATGGGGGCTTACTCTCGGTACTTCTGATCCTGTATCTAGTTTCTTCCCCAGCAAAACCAATTCCGCCAGCACTGGACCTTTCTTCAGGTTAAAGCAGCAGCAGCCGGACATGTTTCAGTTCCCTGTTAGCCTTGCTGGCTCCAGGGAGGACCACCGTGGAACTTCCTCTTCCTCCTCACCTGCCTCTTCTGACAACCGCCTGGTGGTCGATGAGGTTGACTTTTTCTCCGATAAGAAACAAAGGATTGATGATGATAACAAAACTAGTACTACTGTCACCGCCAATAAGAAAAATCCTCACGGTGGAGGCGCTCCAGGCTTTGATCATTTGGGTGTAAATGTAAGTGTTTTTATTTCTCTTCTCCTTAAAACCATTTTCTTTGAGTTACTTTAGTGTTGAACTGAATTATTGAAGATGATGTTTGTTTCGCTTTTGCTTTTGTTCTAACTCTAGACCGGGTTGCATCTTCTCACGGTTAATGGCGGGGTATCATCGGATACGGAAGATAAACGAGCAAAGAATGAGGTATGAAGATGATTCTAAAAGTGAAAAGTTCTTATTGTTTTGGTTCTTTAACTTTTTGAATCGGCGGCGGCGAGCTAGCATATATATATGCACTAGGCATCATTTCACACTGAATGATTTATGTTTTCACTTTAATTCAGCTGGAGGAATTACAAGTGGAGTTCAAACGTACGCATGCTGAAAATCAGAGGTTAAGAAACATGATTAGTCATGTCAGCAACAACTACACTGCTCTCCAGATGCACCTTGTGACCTTATTGAAGCAGCAAAGAAATCCGGGACCCAAAACCACCCAAGAACATGAGGTAGTTTTATTCTTCTTTTATCTATACCATAGGAACTGTATAATTTTGATTCAAATCGGTGACATCAATATGTTCAATGGATTCAGATTCAAGAAGTAAAATCCGAAGTGAAGAAATATGAGGTGGCAGTGCCAACACAATTTATGGATCTAGTCCCATATTCAGGCACCACAGAAGCAGATGAGATGTCGCATCCTTCATCAGAAGAAAGAACACGTTCAGGGTTTCCTCCAAACAACGTGGAAGTTGCATCCAAGGATTATATCAAAGGCAAAAGTGAGATTGCTGAGTTTAACATGGAGGCTTCTTGTTTGCGGGATGACAAGAGAATTGATAGAGAAGAAAACCCGGAATCTGATGGCTGGGGTCCTAACAAAGCTCAAAAGTTGAGTCCTTGTAAGCTGATCGAACAATCTGCTGATGCCAACACGAGGAAAGCTCGTGTTTCCGTTCGAGCTCGATCGGAAGCTCCCATGGTATGTTACTGCTTCAATCATTAATTGTGAAGATCATTCGGTTGATATGAAGTTGTTATATTGTTTCGTTGAATTGATGCAGATCAGTGATGGATGTCAGTGGAGAAAATACGGACAAAAGATGGCAAAAGGGAACCCCTGTCCTCGAGGTTATTACCGGTGCACAATGGCAGTTGGTTGTCCTGTCCGAAAACAAGTACGAATCTTTTTTTTAACTTTCCTAGATTTCATTGTTTGGATTCTCAAGGCCTGGAACTGATTAGTAGTATTCATGTTGATCGATTATCAGGTTCAACGCTGCGCTGAAGATCGAACAATCTTGATAACGACTTACGAGGGCAACCACAATCACCCACTTCCTCCAGCTGCCATGGCAATGGCATCAACAACATCAGCAGCAGCAAGCATGTTGCTTTCAGGTTCAATGCCCAGTGCAGATGGGATCATGAACCCGAATTTGCTTTCCAGGACAATCCTTCCATCATGCTCTTCCAGCATGGCATCGATTTCAGCTTCTGCTCCATTCCCAACTGTAACATTGGACCTTACTCAATCACCAAACCCTCTACAATTCCAAAGACCACCACCCCAATTCGAAGCCTCTCAATTGCCTCAAGTTTTTGGCCAAGCACCGTATAATCAGTCAAAATTCTCAGGCCTGCAGTTGTCTTCGCAGTTAGGCCACCAAGTTCCTCATCCGCAACTGCAGCCTCAACATCCCACCCTGGCTGACAAAGTAAGAGCCGCCACGGCTGCCATCACGAATGATCCCAGCTTTACCGCTGCCCTCGCAGCTGCCATCACCTCCATCATTGGTGGTTCTCACCCAAATAATAGTAGTAGCAACACCTCCAACAGCAATAAAAGCAATGCCATCACCACGAACAGCAGACAATAGATCAGTAGGGCTTCCCACTGGGAATTTATTAGAAAAGACTTTTTTGTTATACCCATTTCCCCCCTTATTTTTGTTGTTACTGTTCTTTAATTGTGGATGAGATGCAGATTACATGTTTATATGTTTTCTTTGTATCTTGTTGTTTGGGAGGGTTAGGTCACGTACACACACTCCATTATTTTGTTATTGTTGTTTCAGTGGAATAAATCCGATTCAGATTTCCCAAGTACACAGAAAAACATGAGTATAATTTTATTTTCCAATGTGTAATGCTCATCTTGTTTGATCCAATTTGCTTAACTTATGTTTTAAGAACAACATCGTCACGACAAGATAAAATGATGGAATGCAACATTTACAAGATTTAATCTTAGAGAACAGAAAACGTATTACTACTAACGTGTAAGACACCCAAGTATAATTCCCAGAAGACAAATAAAAGGAATAATTGTCTCAATCCACATGGAATATTCTTCTATTTTGTTATAAACAGTCAAGGAAATACGGCTACCACCGTTTGACACGTAAATCATTTGTACAGAGGAGAACCTGATGAGAACCGAGACGGTGGACTTTACAACGAGATTCCCAGGCAACAACTTGTGCCTGAGATTTTCTTTATTTTTCTCTTTCGGGTTGTTCAGAGCTAGAGGTCAAATTTGTTCAATGTAGAAGATATTTAGTACTTTTTTTTTATTGGACGAGTGAGATACAATTGTTGACTTTAGGACCGTGCTGCCCATCCCGTTCGATTGACATATGATCCAGTCCTGTCGTGTTCCATGGAAGGGGGAAACCCCCAACGTGGAACTTCGTGGTCATGGTGTGGTTCGCACCGTACCTCATCCACCGTACAATTCTCATCTCCTTTCAGTATTTCTTTCGTTTTTGTTTGTTTGGTTTTTTAAATTTAGAGCTTGCAATTTGGAAATTCATCACAGCCCCACATGCTTCCATGTGAACCGATCATTATTCTCCCCTTTAATACTTTCTTCTCGTTCCACGGACTTCTATTATGTGCGTATTTGCATTTTCTTTTCAAGGATATTTCATCGGTCTACTTCGCTTCATTTTGTAAAATAAATTTTAAAAAAAAATAGGGGAAAATGTGTTTTATTTTTAAAAAATAATTTTTAAAGTGGCATGTGTCATTTTATTAGTGGAGACAGGGCTCCACGTCATCTTTCGTGACGGAAGTGGGCGAATCCGTTAACGACAGAAAACACCATGTATGAAATCGAAAATTTTAAAATATTATGTATAAAATTGAGAATTTGATATACTTCATGCATGAATGGAGCAATTAATAAGTATTTTGTATAAATTAATTAATAAATATTAACAAAATAAGAATGTGAAATATGAAGGGAGATGCATTCAAGCCGCGTAGCTAGTACGGTGGAAGTATAATTGGTATTTCTTTCAAGTGGTGTGATCGGATGCATGATTATGATGAAATTATCATTGTCACGTGAAGTAATAATAATGTTTGAAATTGCGTGCATGAAATCCGTGTGGTGTGGGCGTTGGAGATTTAGGTTTCATTATATAATTGAACTAAGAGAAATAAAAGGCATCTGTCACGTTGTATGATTTCAAGGCTGTTGAATGTTGAAACTAGATTTGTCTTTTGTCATTAATTTCTCTATATGTATTTCCCTGCCATTTCCTCTTTTATTTTTCTCAGCTCAAACATTTTCCACGATTGAGGAACGTGAGTATAGGCTTAGCCCAATAAGCAATACGTTTCCAAGTCGTGGGCGTCAATGAAAACTGGACTTCATTTTGGGCACCATGAAATCGCCCAATCGTAAAGCACAAGCAGATCAAAAGAGAAGTGTAATAATAGAATTCACATTCATTACTTTCTTAGGCAAGTGTGCAAGCTCCATTCGAGTGTTACTTCATACGTATTTGAGCAAATTAAAACCAGTAATATATATTTAAACATATGCGAGCACATCAATGATGCTTCGCCCTTTATTCGTTACTTTTTTTCTTTCTCGGCCTTTATTCATTACTTATTAGTGATACACACAATTCTGCGCACCCAATTATTATGCATAACTGCACATCCCATATACACACGAGTTTCCTTTACCGCAGTTGTTGTTGCATCCTCCACAGTGCTTCTGGTTGGACAATGGGCTCACACACTTCCCTTGACAGCAAATCTTGGAGTAGTTACACTTCTTCCCACACCTCCCACAGTTGAATTTGTCCCCCATGATGTCCACGCATTTTTTGTTGCAGCAAAACGGTCCTTGGCTGCCCCTCGTGTTGCAAATTTCAGGGTGTCGGTCGCATGTGAAGGCGGGACGAGGTTTTTGGGTGAGAAATCGACCCGCTCCTCGAAACGGTGTTGGCATTTGGCGATCCGCCGGGGAAAGATGAGAAGTTTCACTTGTGCTGGCGGAGAGGGTAATGGCCGCCAAGGCCATAACCATAGCCAACATAAGGAGAAGCTTGAGGAAGTTCATGTCTCTCCGAATAAGAAATTAAGCTTATGAAGAAGGTGGTACTACAGATATGATTGGTTTGGATGGAGAAGAACGTAAGCATCCATGGGGTATTTATATAGAAGAAATGAAGCCAGAAATTTCAGTGGTAATCAAAATTTACAGCATTGCATGGTATATGGATCCATGGGAAGCTGCTTTTGGTTAATTAGTCGGTAGTCTAATCCAACGAGTACAAAAATGTAACTGAAATTAGGCCTCTTGAATTAATGAAAAATCATAGTTGAAAATTTTAGATATTGGTAGGCAAATTGCCTATCAATTTATCGTAGTTTACACTTTCCAGCACCTTGAATTTGATGTTTTTATAGGATATATAGATTTAAGTAAATTCCACAATTACTCATCACTCTATTACTTATTTATTATTTTGGTCATTGAACATTAGTTTTGCTTTCTATTTTGGTCATCTATATTTATGGATTTATTTTAGATTTTCCATGTCATTTTCTCTTTCTTACTCGACACTAATATGTTACCTTTTTTTTTACATTTTTCACTTGATTAATACAAAGAAAATAAACTAATACTGTGGGAGTGGAAGAGGATTACAGGAGTTCTATGTCTAACCACCAAATTAAACTTTGAAATTTGTTATAATTCCACCAAAACATGTATTTAGCTTCGAGCCGTAGTTATAGTTCGTTCTTCTACTGGATTTCATATAAAGGGTTTCTTATTGGTGTAAGTCCATTGGCCGTGCTTGGATTTTTTAGGTCAGCAATGTTATATATACCTCCAATGGCCGTGTTTCTCTCTTGAGTACAACGCTCTGCTCGTTCCAGATTTTTTGGAGCATACGTTAGACATTTGTAGTCCGTAGTGCCGGCTCTGCAATGATGAACACAACCCAGAAAAATTGCTAATTACTATTAGAGCATTTGCAGTTGTGTTCTTTATACGTATACTATAATTCTTTCAGGTTTTTAGATAGGGCTTATAAATCTTGCTATCTTTACCATCTTGTGGTGCCTGTAAAGAGTGAAAATGGTGTTTAAATTTCAAAATTGCGTTGCATCAATACTCATTTCTTGGATTTTTGGTGCATGCTCGTACGTCAACTCACGAGACAGACCACTTTGTTTATTTCTACTTGGATCAGAAAGTAGTTTTGCTCTTCCATCGTGCTCCCGTTAACTACATTCCATTGTTGTTTTCTCTTTACTAAAGAGATTGATTCAGGCATGGCAGTCTAACCTCAATTCGTTTCCAACTGTGAAATTGGTTAACGCTTAATAATAATTGTATTAAATAAATAAGTTTTTTTATCCCGCATAATATAGTATATATTTTCAAATAGTTACATGAAATCATTAGAACAATAATTAATTATTATTATTATTTAAATAACGACATAAACATATGCCAGCGGCTAATCATTTGAATATTTGATGAAATTATTATCGTAAAGAAGGGGGATGTCTGCCAGGGTTTCTAGGCATAGCTGCACATCCCGTACAAGCATTTACTTCCTCTGTCGCAGCCATTGTTGCAACCCCCACAGTGCCGTTTATCGGACATCGGATTCACACACTTCCCTTTGCAGCAAATCTCCGAGTACTTGCACTTCCTACCACACTTCCCGCAATTAAGCCTGTCCTTCGTCACATTCACACATCTTTTCTTGCAGCAGTCAGTCCCCGGGCTTCCCGGCACACGGCACACTCTCGGGTATTCATTACATGTTATCGAGGCCCGACGTTTCCGAGCAAGAAACTGGTTCGTAATCCCAACAGAAGGTGGATCGACTTGACTACGATCATCGTTATTGTGAACGAACAAAGATTCATCGGTAGATGGTGCGGCTGAGAGATTGGTGATGGCCAAGGCCATGAACAACGCAAACACTAGGAAGATCTTGAGAGCTTTCATGTTTGGGAGTTGGTCCAAAATGAGAATGCTTTGGATAATTGAGTCCGAAGAGAGAATGAAGAGTTGTAGAGGTATTTATAGGGAAGAATATGTTAAAGAAAAAGGAGTTTGTTTCTCGCAGAGATTGCCATTAGTGGGATGGTCCAATTCAACGTGAGTTTTTAAGATGTTTAAGTAAACTGAGTTAGGCGATCCAATGAAATTTATACAAAAAAATTAGGTGAGTTTCATCTGTTTTAATTTCAATTCCTAAGCTCAAACCAATTTACCTCATTAGTTAATCGTTGATGTTTTTAAAAGTTATAGTCGGGTTCGAGCATGCATTAACTATCTACAAAAGTGATTGAAGGTTTATTATCAAATGGTTGAGAGCATTTAGAACATATGCTATCTTTTATAGTCACCTTAACTTTATGGGAAATAATAATAATAATTTCTTCAATTCCTAAAGAAATTATCATTTTTTTTTCTGACCCATTGCACAATTTTGTAAGTAGCGTTTTCTGATAGATATTTAATTTTATTTGTTGTGTGGGGTTAATATAGGTGGGAGATTTTTAATTATTTTACGATTAATTTTTAATACATTTACATAATATTTGTAAAATACATTCATAAATTAAATAATTTTCATCCATTCACTTTTATTTTAAATAATACCATATAATTATATTAATTATTAATTTTGTTTAGTTATAGATTCAAATATTTAATTTTTAAATTAGATTTATCTCATACTCGAATTTTAGTAACGGAACTTAAATTAACTGTTACCAATCAAGTGATCTCGATGATAAAAGAATTGTTGTTATTTTTTGAAGTCACGAGTTTGAGCACCAAGACTGTCAGAGGTGTGAGTGTTTGATGTCAAATGATTAAAATAATTTTTGAACAAATATTACATTGTATTTACTCAAAAGTAATTAAAAAATTTCGAATAAATTATATCAGTTCTAATAGAATAGAAGTTTACTAGATTACAAAACATGACGTTATTGGATATTAATAAAGACCCTAATCGATTAGGGTTTGGGACCTTTGGATTTAGAATAACATAATTTAAGTTCGATTTATATTTTTTGAATACTCATATTTAATATTTTATTTATTTACTTTTAGATATTAGAGAAATGTCTAAATTTAAAGAAATTATTTGATTCTTTGATGTGTCTATTCCAATATAATCATTAGTAATATTATTATAAATTAACTGTACGAATGTTCCATGTATTTTTATTATTATTTTTTTATCAATGTGGTGTATATACTTTCTTACTGTAAATATGTCTTATATATTTTATTTTGATGTTCTAAAATAGCTCTTAAAAGTAATAACGTTAAATAATAATGTGATAACTAATAACGTTATATTCTTATGTTGTTATATGATATTTAAAAAATATTTAAAATTAAAATTTTTTGAAATAATTTGATATTCTTATTTTTCATGACAAAATATGACCATACGAACAATTCTTTTCTTTCTTTCTAAATAAATAAATAAAAAAGAATTATTCTTTTTCACTCCTTCCATACAAAAATCTAAATTATTTTTCTCCATAGTGGTCTCCATTATCATTAATACAGACAATATATTTTTATCATATTTATTTTATTATATTTCTATCATTTAACGTGGTTAATTTTAAATATAAAATTAAAAAATAAGCACATTACACTACTAAAAAGATATAAACATGATATTAATAAAATATATTCGTGTCATTAATTAATTATTAGAGGAAGGGAAATATAGAAGAGTGAAACAACGTGCAATAATAGAGGGGATTACAGCTTCCTTACAGGAGGCTTGTTGTTCAAAATATGTCAAAGAACTCTCCAATATTTCAAGCTTGGATGACAAGAAAAACCGTTATAGGAGCACTCAAATATATCGTAATTTAATAAATATTCTATGCATTGTCTTTTGTATTAATTATTCATATTTAAATTCAATTATATATGAAAAAAATTAGCAATCTAACATTTGTATCAAAATAATTTATATTACGTGTTATAGCCTTTTTCGATTCCATGATTTTTAAAGGATAAGAGTTTAATTCATGGATATTTAATGTAATTAATTTTTGGACGCATAAAATAATTTTTCATTTAATAAGATTCAAAAAATTACTCTTTAAATAGTTATTTTAAGGGTAAAGTATACAAATGATCCCTTGATTATAGGGTGATGCTTTGTTGAGTCTCTCGATTATTAAAAGTTACAAAATGGTTCTTCGACTATAGAGTGTTGCATTGTTGAGTCCTCTGACTATCAAAAGTTAAAAAATGATCATCCGACTATTTAGTATGTTTCAAACTAGTCATTTTTCGTTAAGAATTTGACAATAGTCTGAGCTGGATGTTAACCTGATGATTGAGATATGATAAAATATGATCTCATAATTTAAAAAAAAATTATCATATCTCAGTCAACAGGTTAACATCAAATTCAGACTGTTGTCAATTTTTTAATGGAAAATGACGAGTTTGGAACATACTAACTAGTCAGATGACCATTTTTTAACTTTTAATAGTCGAATGACTCAACAAAACAACATGCTATAATCGAAGAATCATTTTGTAACTTTTAATAGTCGTGGGATTCAACAAAGCATCATCCTATTGTTGAGATACTAATTTTGTACTTTACCCTTCTTTTAAATGATCTTTGTGATATAAATAATCTTTAAAAAACTATTTTTAATTGTTAAAATTCTATTTTTTAGTTATTTCTTTTAAAAAATTCTTTTAAATATAATACACGATTGGTTTTCTATTCTAAATTGAATTTGTTAAAGAAGCATTTTATTTTCTGGTATTTGATTTGATTGATACGCCTACATTGTATACGTCCATATATTGTATTGACTTGGAAATTTTCAGCTGTACTTGCTTGATTTTCTTTCCAGAGTGCAGCCGCTGCTTATGTCTTCTTCTATTCTAGCTCACATGAGAAATAATTATTTCGACTTTTACACAGGAAAAAGCATTTGAGGTCAGAAAATTCATGGAAACTAGGAATTCAACTATAATTCATGACCAAGAAAATAGCAGAAGGAGAAGAAGAGGAAAACCTATTCAGCTATCCATGGATTCACTCGCTTTATCCAACAATTTAACCAGAGGAAGAAATCATGTTAATCTTCCCTTTGCCAACTATATTTCCATGCTTTTAAACAATATTGTTTGCAAAAGAAAGGAAAAGAGAAAATAAAGTAGGTAAGAAAACAAGCTAGGAAAAGCAAAATCTGCTAAAGAACTTGTTTATTGTTCATTAAAGGTAGACATGATTCCCCATTTTGGTAAGAAAGGCACATATTCTGCAGACAACCCAACAGACAAGCTTAGTTTCCTTATAGTTTATATAGACCTACAAGTGTTAACATATATGTAACAGTTTTAACAATCTGCTGTTCTCAGAATTTATATATTTTTCCCCTACTCAACATATTTTCTATAGGTCACTTTAGAACCTGTAAAGATCATGTGCTTCTATTGCCTTGTAATTTTTACTCTGCTCTTTTCTCTGCCAATGCCAGCGACAATGGAGCACCAGCTGCAAGCTACATCGGTTGAGAGGACTGAAAGTGGAGTGACATCAGGCCTTAGACCATGGAAAGGTCAAAATAACTGGCGACACAGCCACCACCTAAAGAATGTATGTAAGTTTACTGAATCAGTATATGAAGTCACCAACGGATGCAATGAAATATGATTTGGTAGAGCTTTTTAACAGGTGCATGGGATTCTAAACATCATTGGGTGGGGGTTCTTGTTGCCCACAGGAGCCATAGTGGCAAGGAATTTCAGAAATTTCCCTTTGAAATGCGAGGAATGGTACCAACTTCACACGCTATGCCAAACTTCTGGGTACATAATTGGCACAGTTGGATGGGGCATTGGCATATGGTTGGGGAATTCTTCCAGGCAATACATTTTGAAGCCTCATCGGATTCTGGGAATCATTATATTTACTTTTGCGACTCTACAAGTAAGCTTTGAGTGCCTTTCGTTTCCATTCACGAAGATTACATAAGCTTGGATATCTGTTTTTGTGTGGTTCAGATGTTGGCACTGTGGTTGCAACCGAAGAAGGAAGACCAGTTTCGCAAGTTGTGGGAGATTTACCATCATGTTTTAGGGTATGCCGTGATTGTTCTTAGCGTTGCTAACATATTCGAAGGGATCGGCAATATCCGAAGCCATGCTGCTGAGATATGGAGGTGGTTTTATGTGGGAATGCTCATCGTTTTAGCTTTAACGGCTGTGGCATTGGAAATGTATAGATGGATCAAGTCCAAGAATCAACAGCAGATGGCATTTGATGACGGCCAAATATATGCTTCCCAACAAATTTAAATCGGCATCTTCTTTTGAATTTGTTGTGTTTTCCTTTTCAATTCTCAAGATTCTAAAACAGGAAAAAGGACGTGAAAAAACCAGAAACAGGTGTTCATCAGTCTTGGTGATGAACAGAAGATCTGAGGCACAACTTTCAGACGAGATCATCAAAATAGTGGGAATCAAACACCATCTGGATTTATGATTTTAGTTAATAATTTTTTTATACAAATATATACGACATTGAGAGAGAATTATTTGCTCAATTTGTGCATTTGTTCCATGCTCTGAGTAGTGGCAAACTAAAGTCTGAATAAAAGAACTTTGAAGTTCAATTAGATCTTTCTCTTCAAACTAACAACTAAATCATTTATATAAATGTAAATAAAGATAGAAAAAGGTGATTTTTAAGAATTCAAAGTAAAATATTAAATGCTAGAACAAGTATTGCAGAGAAAATAGTTAATTGCGGGGGTCATGGATTGGACTCAATATGCCAATGCCAATGCAGCTTTGTTGGATCATAATTGATCCAGAGTTGAGATTTGATACATCAATTCATGAATGGTAGTCCCAATTCGGTCAGAAATTAACTAGAAGAACATGATATTTCACCCTTTTCCATGAAATGGCAGGTCATGAAGCATGATTAAGAAATTGTGTGTTTAAGCATGTTCAAACTCACATTCTCAATAAATTGTTGCAGCAACAACGATACCGAATGAGTCAAGACTGAATCGACCAAATCTTTGTTAGTTAAGAGATAAAATGGTAAATTAGTTTTGAACCAAATCTTTGTTAGTTTGTATACCTTCTTGCTCCATCAGGTTTTTAGATGCTATGCATGGAATAGGGTTTATCAGTTGAGGACAGCTATTGCTATAAGTTTGGGGTTGTTAGATATTAGAGAACAATGAGAAAGAATAGTAAAGGAATTATTTGCATTTCACGTGTTTACACTCAAGGTCACTAGTCCTTATATATTGGAACAGTCACTACATACTCATGACAAACAGAACGTAAACAACCCTAACAAATCTTGACATCTCACTAATAAACTTTTGGCTTTGCAAACATCTCACGCAACCATTATTTGCTGACTCATATTATAACAGGGGTCCAACTTCGTTGTTTGACTCGTTGCTTTCTTGGAAGCCATTTATTATGAGTAAGCTCTACTATCGTTTTCAACTCACTTTGCTATAGTTATGATGTGTAACACCCTCGTACCGATGCGGGTGACCCGATTTGATCTGAGGTGTCACATTAAGTCCACCGGAGCGATCCACAGTAAAAATCTAAGAAAATTTAAAATTTTTTGTTAATCCATTTAAAACCGTAAAATAATTTATATATAAAATACAAGTTCAGAAAAATCATTTATATATATTAAAATAAAATCCACCAATATCCAGTAGTAAAACAAGTTTCAGACTCGAATATAAAAACATAATACAACCTACATGCACCACCGTACTCCGCAAGCAATACTGGTGGAACTCCTTTACTGATGTCGATACGAACACAGGATCAAACTCTTTAACTTGAAATAGTAAGTAACATGGTGAACTTTGGAAAGTTCAATAATACAGAACTACCAGATTAATGCAATAGGTCATCATGAATATGGTAAATCATAGCTTTCCTTAGTGGGACATACATCATTAGATTTTATCGGTGATTTCAGATTCCATCAGCTAAGTCTTTAGTTACAACCAGGAATATACGGTCCGAAGGAAGAATTCTAAGAGACATATTCAGAATATTGAATTGGGGAGTCTAGTGTGTTCCAACAAAACAGAGAGATGTATACAGTTTCCTTTAAAAATATTAGTAGTTTAAAACATATTTTAAAACCACAGTAATACCCTCCAACCGAACACTGATATGCAGTTTCTACATAACTGCATCCATAAGGACTTACCCTAAGAACATAGCAAAGGAGCCACCCTAAGGGGGTACCTTGGGGACTACCCAAGGGTCTCCTTAGGTCCGTAAGGATTTACTAGCTTGATTAGAGTTGAACCTCCGTACTCCAAACTCCTACCCATACAAATTCTAATAGAAATCATATTGAGCAGTAACTTTAATATCAAAATCATGATCCAGTAGAATGTTGTAAAAATGAAAATGTAGTTACTTAAATCACTTGAATGGCCTCCATTCGTACACCAAAATATAGTCCCATACTAAGGGAGTGCTTTGGGGTCTTAGAGCCTACCCAAGGAATACCTTAGGTTCATAAGTAATTACCAGCTTGATCATAGCTGAACCTCCATACTCCAGCCTACCCAGATAGTGTCCCAATAAAACAGTTCAAGTAGTAACCAGTAGATTCCATGATCTATAAATCAGGAACAATTATATTTTCCAGTGAAAACATGTAACCAGAGAACATATCAGGTAGTCATAGTTCATAAACAATAAACCAATACATCAGTAAATCAAATATCGAACAATTAAAAGATTTAGTCAAACATCAACTTCAGTAAATCACATTTCTGGACAGATAAAATAATCATATATCACATAGGGAACACATTAGAGGATCCAGTTATTTTTCAGAGGTACTTAGTATTTATCAGGTAAGGAGCCACGAAATTTATGCAAACTGATTGAATTTCATAATGAGGTCCCCATAAAAAGGGAGTTTGATAGCTAACAGATTCATCAGTCATTTAGGAAGTGATTTATCAAGATCATAGTATTCAGACATATCAGCAAGGTATTCAAGAATTATTGCATCGGAATTATTTAGGATTCATACATTCCTAAAGTGGATCCATCATTCAAACTTATAAGGGCATATTAGTTATTTACTTCATGAGAAATTTGATAAATCTATTTAATAAGGGTCTATGGCGATTTAAAAAATTCCATATTCTTAGCATCTTAACAGGTTTTCAATTTCGATCGTACTGTACCATTCCTAGCAAAGGTGACACTTATCAATTATACAAGTAGAGAAACTTCACGAATATTCATTTCTTAAATCTGGTTGAACTATAGAATCGAACTAATCACATTCATAACCATCTTGGGAGGATCATGATGAGATCAACAGGTATTTAAGCAGCATTTATTTACTTCTTGTATTATAATAGTATTAGGGATGATCAACTTACTTAGGTCGTACTCTATAAAACCTCAAGGGCGTTACAACATTTAAAGCTTTGTCGGTATCTTCAGAAGTTATCCAAAGGCATTTGCTTAATCCAAGTCATGGGGGTATTTAGATCATTATGGTATTCGAGGTAGATTTATTCATTCCATAGTTTAAAGGTATTCAGTCATTTCAGGGCTTGGGGGTATTTTAGGTTATTTCACACTTCAGGGATATTTTGGTTATTTTACAGTTCAATGGTATTTCGATCCTTTCTTTTCGTCCAGTTTTTCCATTTAATTCAAACTTGTCATTTATTTCAGTCATTTCAAACAATTCTGACAATAAGAGTACTTTCGATAAGTTATTCTTCGGGTGTATACTCATAATCAGAAATTCTGGGTCTAGCGTCTTCTTAGAGGTTACAAACTATTTATCTGAAATCTACTGAACAAAATAGTAACTTGACAATTAAATCCATAATTTATCGGATTAGATATGAATTCCCAGAGTACTTTCTCAATTATAATTAAAGGGTCAGATGAGATATTTTTTTTATTAATTTAGCATGACACATCACCTCTTTAATGATAAATAATGGTGTTGTGCCCATTTTATAACAAAATCTAAAATTTAACAGGTATTATATAACTTTTGAAAGTTTTGTGTCAAAAAAGATCATTTGAATATAATTTGATATCCATTTATAAATTTTACCTTATAAAATTAGTGAATGATATCAATGTTCATTATAAAGTTTTTCATTAGTCTTCCATCATTATAATAAAAAAAAAGTTGATAGTTACAATTTTGTGAAATAAGTTGTTAAAATTTTATAAACTACTTGACAATTAGGCATTTGTTAAACACTTGCACTTATAATGTATTTTTGTCATTTAACATATTTTATACAGGTCAATTCGGACTATTTTTACCTCTCAAGGGTAATTATGTAATTTCTCTTCTAGGTATTTTCGGTGTTTTGATTTTTTAACAAGAGTAATCAAATTTTAAGGGTTATGAGGTTGAACGCTTCACTGGTTAATCATGAAACTTGAAATTGTTCCTTGTAAATCATTTAATTTCTTATACGAGCCATCAGAGTTTTATTCAGTTATTTACTTTTTACCGTATTCGAATTGATTTTAGAAATAATTTACTATACATATGAGATGAAACATATTCATCCATGCACTTAGCAATACCAACATGTATTGTAACACATGTATAGGGTAGTAAATTATTACCTCAATTCTCGAGCTACATCGATAGAACATTCAAACTCTATTCGATCGCTCTCCAACTTGAATCCAACGTCCAATAATATCTCGGATACATATCAATAGAAATTACATAAGAAGCGAAGCTTAATTGCGAAAAACGGATCGAATGTGAGGTTAATCAGTGAAAAATAGCTTATTGAGTTCGAATTTGGCAAAACAAACTCAAGACGTCGAAAAACATTAGGATATGTGCTCTCGAACAAAGTCAACGATCGGTCAACTCCTGGTCAACAGCTTGGCTCCGCTCGAACAACTCGATTCTTTCACACCCTAATTTAGGGGTCAAATTATAAGTTTCTGAAAATTATAGTCAATTTTAGAACGTGTAGGAAATTCAGGGATCCAGTCCTGAATTTACCTATTTTTGTTAGATGTTGAAAAATAAAACCTCCCCCGAGTAATCTGATTTTCTCCATAAGCTTACCCCAATTTCCTTCCCCGTTAAACCCCCTTTGTCACCCCGATTCTCCACCGTTCGTCGCTCTGACACCACCAATAAACTCACTATCGAACGGTGAACAAAACCCAACCTCTATTCCGTCGTAAATCGGTGTCATTCACCGTAAAACTCAATTGGAAGCTTTGTCGGTTTTAATTCAATCACCATTTGTTTTCGTCGATTTCGATCGATT